ACAGTGCAACATAAAAGAAACAAAATACAATCGAATTAGTGAGGATAAACTTGTTGAGTCAGTTGGTTTTTTTTACCCATGCCAGTGCCATTTGCCCGGTTCAAATTTCAAATTCAAATTTTATTTTTATTTGTCACGTACACAGTCATACACAGTACGATATGTAGTGAAATGCTTGGACAACTGCTCGTGACCTAAAGAAAACAAAAAAAGGAAAAGGCTATGAATAAGATAGGACATAAATATGAAAAATTTAAAAGGGTAAGTTTAACTAGGAAGGAATAAAATATAAATTAAGGTTAAAAATGAAATAACTGTACAACACAAATTAGAATGAAGGGTAAATTTAACTGGGAAAGAATAAGATAAAATATATAAATTAAAGTTGAAAATAAAATAACTGTACAACAAAATACACAATATAGAACTATATAAGAATGTATGAAGAAATATAAATAAATATATACACAATAACAGCACCTGTACAAGTATTAACTGGAAATGAAGAATGTAGTGAGGCTTTGACAGTGATTCCACACCCTTTTAGACCTGCTAATAACACTACAAGAAGAAAAAATGTGGATGGACACTAAGTTGAATGAATGTTTTTGGTTGTCTGAAGTAGGGCATGCTATGTAAAAAAGTAGGAAAACCACTTTGGGAGCCACATTTGTAACACATTTTATTGATTACTTTTTTTCCCTACAAGCAGGCATAAGATGCAGGTTACACAAAAGCTGATAGTTTACACTGAAGCCTCAAAGTGAAAACTTGTGGCTACTTTATTTCAAAGAAACTAGCATAAAAGCAAAGATTGTGACTTCACCTGTATTTTTTAGATTCACAAAATTCTCAAAGCTGTTACATACTGTACTGATTTAGGATCAGAGGTCTCCTACACGTCTGTGCTAACGAAGGCGATTTTCTTTCGAAGAGATGCAAGAAGATTGGGCCCAATCCTGTACGTCTCTTTTGGCTCATAATGCGCGGATGCATAAAGCTCGTCGATTCGTTTGTTGTTCTTGTTATATTTCACCAAAACTCTGTCCATGTTACTTTTAGGATTGCTGCGGTTGTAGTATCTTCTGACTTCATACGGCAGCTTCTCTGCGCCAGGATAGTGGAGGTTTCCAATGGTGTAATAGCTCCACTGCTGTCTGTCTTTTATCACAGGAAGAACTGGCCCTTTGTTCTGAAACAAGTGAAACCCATATTCTCCCCGGTAGGGATCACACAGAGCCCTCATGTTGTTGTCCAAGCAGTTCTGAACGTACCACACCAGCAGCTTAAGGCCATGGCGAGGAGGCGGCTGACCAAACCCGCTGTCCTGGAGTTGTTGTATTGAGTCGAGGGTTTTCGGAGGTGAGGTCAAGACCACAGACAACACCAAAGTCAAACAAAACAAGGCTTTGTCGTGTGCCATCTATGAAAAAAGACATCCCAGTGTGAGAACAGGAATCTTAAAACTACACTAAAGAAACATTTTCTCACAACTTACCTTTTAGTTGGTACCCGTTTCCCTGTAGTCTCAAAGCGTGCCTGCAACCGAAACTAAAGTTGGTGTTTTGTGCTGCAGCTGAACGAACTATTCGATCCTGCGGTTGTCTTCTCTCTGTCTTATGTGGAGAGACTGAAAAAAAAGAAAGCACACTGGTAGGGTTTTCATTCTCTATGTGCGATGAAAAAGGAAGTGATTGCTGTACAGCTGGACTCTGTGAAAGTCCCATTTGAAAGAATAATTAAACTAAGCAGGCGTATCTCAGGGACTAAAGGAAGTTACCAATGTAAAGTCTTACTTCTGCTTTCACTCCTAGCTGCGAAGAACAGCTGCTAATAGAGGAGCAGCCAGTCAGCTGTGCACACCAGAATAATAAAAGCTTAGCAATGAAGATGATTTCATATATGCTGGTGATGTAGTACTTTAAACTCGCTATAGGGTGTGTGGTAGTGGAGGGGGTTTCAACCTTTATGTATATGGGAACCAGCGAGTTTGCAAACAGTGAGGGGTTAAAGTGGATTCGATAGGTGGGGGGAACCCTAAGATCTGGTGCGGCAGTGCAGCAAAGGAAATGGCTCACTCACAAAGAAGTCCCCAAAAGAACGAAAGGATCATAGAGGATCCAAAGAGGAACGGATCAGTCTGTTGGTACCAGCGTCCAGTCAGCAAGAACATCCAAATTCATCCCAAGCTCACTTAGTTCACTGTGCACCGATTCAAGCCTACAGTATCACATGTCTCTTTGTGTGTCTGGGCGTGTGTTTGTGTGCCTTTGAACACTCTCATGATTAGTGTTCTCAGTGACTGCTGGCTGATGGGGTTGATTTGTCCGACAGTGCAGTGTGTCAGGCAGGCTCAGCGTCCGCACTGGAGAACATGAGTGAAGGAGCGAATAATTGATAGTGACAAGGCGCTCCCAGCCTTAATTGCTGCTGGTGAATTAGATTACCTTTTTAAAGTGCCTTCATTAGCAGAGGGAGAGCCATACCAACGGTCCCCTGATTGGCCTCATATTGTTTTGCTGTGAACTTGCTCTGGCAGGGCACAAAAAGTGTGCATTTGTTTTGGTTGGTTTGAAATTGCTCACTAATTTTCTTGTACAGCTGTAGCTTGTCTGTGTGCGCGATGTGTGCACACGATTCATATCCAGAGTTGACATTTTGTGATACATCAGTAACTCACTGAAGCAGCAAGTGTCTTTGTGTGTTTATGAGGCTTAGTCTGCTGTTTTAAAGGGTATATGCACCTGTGTCACAAGGAAATATTTAGCTCCAATGGCTTGCATTTTATGTCTAGTGTAATATGCTGAAATATGACAAGGAAGCCCAGATATATAGGTGATATATACTCTGTTTTTTCTTTTTTTCTTTTGTGAAGATCACAAACCACAAAGTGAAATTTGATGCTGTTTGTGGACTTTGTGGACTACATACTGCTGTTGCCCCACTAAATGAGGTCCAACATCAGGGTTAGTTAGTTATTTGCTGGAGATCGTGGTTATAGAAATAGATAAAAAATATGAAGTAGTCATGGAAAAGCAGTTTATTGGTTTATGTAAATGGACTTGATTTTTATTTTATTCTGTTTTCGTTGCAATCAGCACAACAATGAAACTAGGGTTCATCAGGAAGTGTATTTCATGTGGGTGCCACATACATCTCGGAGAGTCCTCAGTGGGAATGTGTGACCCAGGCAACCGGAAAAAATAAGCTAAAAAGGAAAAATAGTGGTAGGAGTTGTATTTTACCCAATCCATGATCTTGTCTCAAGCCTAACCAAAAAAGAAGTTTTCAGTTTCATGAGTATTCCACAAACTTCTGTGAGACTGTGTTGTGTGATGCTTGAAAATGTTCCTCCTTTTTCTCTGTAAAGCTGCACAAAGGGACAGACGGGATTTTGCTGAAAGTGAGCAGGGAAAGTAAGGAAGAAGTATCAGTCTATGCAGAGAGAGTTACTTGCGCATATTTTAAAAAAACACCAAAAAAAACCCCACCCAACTTTCTTCCTAAACCCAAATGTCCAAAACCTCACACCCTCTTCTTCCCCTCCAGCAACTGTTTCAGCTTCAGCTGTCCTCCCTCATTACATTTCCATATCTATCACCAGTTACTGTTCCATCACCAGCCCACCAGCCCCCAAAGTTCCCTCATCCCAAAAACACACTGGCATCCCCATCTCTGCCTCATGCTTCATTCCCACCGCAGCCAGCCTTCAGCCCCCTGCCAAGTTAAATGGACTGTACTGGCGTCAGGGGAGTCGCGTGTGCTCAATTCAGCTCAGCTCAGCTGGGCTGCAAGCGTTATAAACTTAGTGTGTGATTATTGTCGGAGCCAGGCTCCTCCACGCAGGAAGTGCGCACTGATGGGTACTATGTCACCGGGTACGGGGCCAGCCGTGGCGAGAGGGATGAGAGAGCAAAAGGAGAGACTGAAACTGAGGCGAGAAAAGAGCACAGAGAGGGAGGAAAAAAATTGTTAGAGATGAAGGAGGGTAACGGGGATCGAGGGAGAAAGGGTAATAAAAGATAGAGGAAGGAGAACAAGCAGGAGAGGACTGAATCATCAAAGGGAAGGAAAAAGCCACGCTGAGCAAGGAAAGACTGATGTACACCTATCGCAGCAGACAAAGACAAGAGAAGACACACGGGGAGTGATATAAAGAGGGAGAAGCATAAGAATAATGCAGTCAGAGAAGAAAGAGAGGCAGCAGGGAAATCAGCAGAGGAGGGGAAAAGAAGAAGAGACGGGGAGGGCGCATAGGAGAGAAAGGCAAGAAGAGAAATTAGAGAGAAATTTTTCAAGCGAGTGATGTGCGCTGTGATTGTTTTCTCTCTCTCTCTCTCTCTCTCCCTCCCCGTCTCGCTCTAAACGGTCGGGATGTGGCCTGTATCTGCCGGCAAGAAGGAACTCAATTTGGGACAATTTACTCGGCAGTCTCAGCCCTGATGCACCTCAGGGACAGAGAATAGAGAGAATGAAAGTGAAGGAAGATCGAATCAGCAAGCCCCGCACACACATACATACACACTCACACAACGTGTGCCTTGCACACAATTGCTGCCGAGTAGATTTCACTTAGTTAGTTCTAACTCTCCCAGGCGGTCAATACGATTGAGTTTATAAGGCTTGGAAATGAAAAGCCCAGGATAAGGTTAGATAAACTGTGTGCTATTTGATTTTGGGCCACCCTTCGCAGAAAAACCCACACAAGACAGATGGCCGGAGGGGATACGCTGAAATCATGTTGTGCAAAAGGGTCAGATGGGTGATTAAGGCTGAATGCGTTGTGTGCTTTGACCCTCGCTCTGTACCTGCATTGGTTTCTCTGCGCTGAAGAAAGCGCTTGAGTGATTTTTCCAAATGCATCTTTGTTTTTGCATTCTTAAATAAAATGCAGCCACATGATCAAATGTTATATCATAACTTGCACCCTGCAACACTTTGCGCCTTAAAAGTTTGGGATTGTATAAGCTGAATGTGAAATTGTCTTTCCATGCTCACAGGTTGGCAGCCTGAACGGTCTGTACACACTGAGGGACACCAGGGGGCGCCCTGACAGAGCCACCTTTGAAGACAGACTTGCAGCAGCAGCAAGGGTAAGTATCCCCCCACCCACCCCCCCATAAATAAATGAATAAATGAACTAAAAGAAAAGGAAAAAAAAACACTTGATGGACTGAAAAGTGAGGACACTGACAGAGGAAGGAGCTGTGTGTTCCCAAAAGAAAAAGAAGCCACTCTGTTTACTTTTATCTTTCATTTCTTTGCCTGTTCCTGCAACACTCTGAGAAATGCATTCACAACTACAGCTGTTGAGAGCATCCAGCCACTTGGACGAGACTCTTTGATGCATTTAGCACAGTGAATTTACACTCTGGCATCAGTTCTGATTGTACCCAGCGAGTGTATGCAAATGGAAGTTCATTTAAGCTGCCATTGCTGTTTTAATCATGCTCCACTGTTGATTAGCAAAATGATTGGCAAAAAAGAAAGGAAAAAAAGACTGAAGCAGGCCCGTGTTGAGCAATGGATAAAAGTTGTTTACCTTGCTCTTGTTGCTTGTGTGCCTGTTCCACCCAATATCACTTTGTGCACCCATCCCCTCCTCCTTCCTCCCTTGCCACCTTCAGCAAGCTGCTCCGCTTTACCCTCGGAGCTCACAATTCAACCTCCTCACTAGGCTTCCGTGGCCATGGAAACCGTCATTCAGGGAGACATCCCATGACAGCAGGGAGAGGAAGGGTCGGAGATGTGGCTTCGCCCCTGTCCATTCTCCAGGGTGCACCGGACCTCTGGCCTTTCTCCAACACATTGCCCCTTCAATCTCTCTCTCTCACACACACATACACACAAAATACACAAAACAATAAAAATACTCACATAGAAAGACGTGTGTGTGTGTGTGTGCGTGCGTGCGTGTGTGTGTGTGTGTGTGTGTGTGTGTGTGTGTGTGTGTGTGTGTGTGTGTGTGTGTGTGTGCATCTACCCCACAACTACAAACCACCCTCCCACCCGAACACACACAGACACACAAACAGCCTGAAAGCAAAGGAGAGAAAGGAATTCCAAACTTTCCGATTCAGAGTTATCATCTGAATCAGTGTGCGTGTGATTAATTGAAGTAATTTATGCACAATCTCCAGTGACTCCATGTATGGTTCATGATTTCATTAAACTGTAACTTTAATTACTTTTCTACTATCGTAACTTTAGGTGAAAATAAATTCCCACCCTTAAATGTCTCACGTTTCGTAATGAGTCTTACATTTAATGGATTGCACAAATAATGTTTTGGGATGATGAACAATTGCGTATTTAGACGCTGCTTCTCCCTGCCAGCTGCCTTCATTTTTTTTCCATTACAGTCATTTTATTTTGGAATTTTGTTTCATTTAAAGAAATCTTATCGTTTAGTTTTGTAGCAAGTAAAAAAAATGCTGCTATTGCAGCTTACTTGAACCCTCTGAAAACCCTTGAAACTTCTTTGCTTCCCAACTTATATAATGCACTTTATTTGCTTTCTTTTTTTTAGCTGAATACAGTTAATATTGTTGTGGGTTTATGGAAGACATGCTTATGTTGGGTTATGTGTTGTCAAACACAATTAGAGTGTGTTAGCTGAAGCAGCTGGCCTCCTGCCAGAGCCTTAGCAATAGTTCGTCCGCCCACCTCTGACCAGGATTCCATCTTTACAAACACGTCTGCTGTTTTTTTTCCTTTGGATTGCATAGCAGGTGGGTTTGATAGCAGAACCCACCAGTTACTGCATCATATAAAGTTTAGTAGACTGCAAGGTTGCGACGGAGTTAAAATTAGCTTCGTGCGGCTTAATCTGCCCTTCACAGTTAGAATAGTATTTACAGTAGAATAGTATTTACAGGTAAAAAAGCCCTACTGTTGCTGAGATCCCATTTGCAGTGATGTGGTAGAGTGCTACTCACTGAGGTGTTTGTGTTACTCTGCAAAGCACCTGCATTTTGAAATGAAAGGTGAAATCACTGGTGCATCGTTGTGTAGCAAAAGCATAACGAGGCTGTGTTTTCACGAGATAGATCTACTCCTGTCAGGAGGTGGAATTAAACCGAGGGCTGTTTTACCTTTTAGAAATAGTTGTAACTATATTGTAATAACAGCTGTGCAGTGTAACTTGGCGTATTGATTAATAATGCTGTAAAACCACGGCAAACAAAATAAGACGCAACATAAAATATCATTTATACCTGTCTGTATATCATAACTGTTGCAAACTATTGAGGAGTCCTTTATAAAGAAAATAAATGAAAGGGAACTATTTAAATCTTCTTGACAGAAGAATAAGAAACATCTTTAATAAATTAGCACGATCTGCCGCAGCTGCTGCAGCTCATAGAAGCCTCAGTCTATTGTTTGCTGCATTGACACACACACAGTCACATTGAATGGAGGCCACAGTGGCATCTCAGAGGAGGAGGAGGTTTTGCCACTGTGTAATCCCAGCTGATGCAGCCCTCTGTCAGCAAGGCAGCAATCAGCTGTGGTATTAATCTCAATGCTAATGGCATCATTAGCAAAGCTGTGGAAAAACATACCAATGTGAGGGTTTAGAGACACATGGAGAAAGACCATATATGCACATCTGGCAAATAAAGCACATGTAAAAATGCTGTTAACGAAGCAAAAACACAGACACATACACACATGGTTTCTCTTCTGTCTCTCTGCGTGTGTATGTGTACGTAGTTTATTTGAAACCCCGTTTCCCCTCAACGACTCTCTTCTGAACTGTCCTAACTATTGTACCTCTTGTGGTTTCATTCTCAAACGCGCAGACATGTTTCTGACCAAACTCTATACTGACCTTTTACCAAATGTCTCAGATACTAACCCCCTGCCATCTTTTGACACACACATTGGTTCCTGCTGGTGTACTACACACTTAATACACAGATACAGAAAGGCACTGTTCACAGCATGTTCCAGTCTTGTGATGACCTGGTTTGAATCTTCTTTTTAAAAAGAAATCTGTTTTAATATCTGTCTCATTAATCTGAGCTGTACAGGCACCTTATTGATGCAACACTTGAGACGACAGCTGCAAGCTGCAGACAGAAGTCAAGGAGAAAAGACATTACCGGCAGAACAAGTGTGAAGTTTTTCTTATATAAACTGAAAAAAATAAGCAGGGCGCTAAAAGATATTTATTATAGTGAGGATGCTATAATGATGAAAGGCCAAGGTCAGCTTTTAGAAAAAATAAAGTCAAATATAGGCTTTACCTTGCAGCTAGCAAAACATCTAAACTTTTAGTGATGCTTACCTAACTAGTGTAAGCTCACCAATAGGTAGTCTTATTTTTGCATAAAAAATGAAATATATTCTAAACAGCCACAGCTAAATTAAGATAGAGCATGCATTGTCCAGTTGTTGTCAAATGATGCTCGATCTCCTTGTGATTGAATATCGAGTTATTGAACGACCTCTAAAATTTGCAGTGTGTTAAATCCTTAAAAACGTATAAAAGTGAAAATGTGCTAATAAATGTGATAGTTGTTGTAGTGTTTAAAATGTGACAGCAAATCGAAAAATATTTTTGTCAGTGCAAGTTTAGCCTTATATGTAGGGATGGGTATCGTTTAGGTTTTATCCGATACCAGTACCAAACTGGTACTTTTGAAACGGTGCCGGTGCTTAAACGGTGCTCGAACCGGTGCTTAAAGAATGGAGAACACAAACTTTGTCCAAAAACCTCTCATGTTTAGCTGTTTTTTTTGTAAAAAGATAACAATGTGTGCCTTTTCTGCAGCTATAGGGCATATCTGGTATCACTCTTGGCTGGAAGCAGTGCTTAAACAATGGAAAAAACACAAACTTTGTCCAAAAACCTCTCATGTTTAGCTGTTTTCCACTTTTCTTTGGTCATTTTAGCCTTTTTGGCCAGGGTGAAGGGAGTATCTGCCATCAAACAAGAAGACAGCCGCATGTAACTACGACGGTGTTTGCTAGTTCACCTTACATGCATTCATTTAATAGCGTGGTTAGCCTACTCAACGTAAATTACACACGTACAACATTAAGCTACTCATGCAGAGAAGAACGGCTGCTGCTGCCATCATCATCATCCGTCATCATTTCTGCTACACTGGCAGGGCTAGGGGCCAGGACTCTCCTCTTCGGGTTTTTGGGGGATGTTGCTAACTCCAGGTCCGATAACGGGCACCACACACGCAGTAGATGTGGACGGTGTGAAGTCTCGCAGCAAGCTATCAAATACGGTGCATTTCTCGGCTTTTAACAAAATTCTGCTTTTCGGTCTGGTTGCTACCGTTTATGTCAGAACCGGTGCCGGATACCGGTACCCATCCCTACTTATATGTTGCTTTTAAAAAGTTACACTCTGTCTGATGAACGTGTTAATTATATTATAGAAATCTATAGTAATCTTTGTTAATTCTTGATATTGTGCCTAAACTAAAGTCCTAGAATTTTAATTGCATAAAGCATAACTTTACTACATTGCTATGTCTGTAGAATAGAGATGGAATAAGAGTGAGAGTGCTTTCAGGTACATCCTGCTTCTCACTTCTTCTATGTGCAAACTGTTTTGATGCATTTAAAATAAAAACCATATTAGATATATCCATTGAGCAATACAGATATTACTATTAAAATGATCAACTTTTATGTTCTTAAGTATGACTTAAGCAGAAATTCACATTCATAAAACTTTATATGAAATTGTTGGAAATGTTTTGTTTATACTTAGAATTATCAATGAATTAGATAATTGTGTGAATTGGTTCCTTAATTGAACTTATATTTGATATTTGAAGCTCATATTTTAAGCAAGTAGTTGAAGCCACGACCATTGGGAGTGAATGATTCTGCTCTTTGACATATCGTGGGTGTTAGATACAGTAGGCATTATGCTAGTGGACATTGTGCAACCGGGAATGTCCACTAGCAACCAAACGTCAACACCAAAGTGATGCATGTCGAGCAAATCACTTCGTGTGGGCAGTAAACAACTCTTAACTCTGATGAACTTATTGATTCAACACCAGTGGGAGTGAAAGACACCATTTACTGACATTTGAGTGCTAGCTGCTAAGCCCCAACC